GAAATCCCGCGACCACGAAAATTGCTCATTGGCAAGTAGACGCACGCCCTCCGTTAGCCAGTCAAAACCGCTCAGGCCAGCAGATCGTGAAATATAAGCGAACAGTTCGCCAACTTTGCGCCCAGGTCCACTCGTCTTAGTCCTCCGGAGACAGAATTTCAAACCCACTTGGGACAGCCTAACAGATTTAATCTCCACATGTTGCAGATCATCAGCCCGCAAAGTCGACCAAGTCATGAGCAGCCCGCAAAATGCGACAAAACGAAGCCCCAGCGCCTGAGAAGTTGCGCAAAGAAGCAGTTCCATGGATAGCATGATCGCGATTGTATATAATGGTGCCTGCTTGACTCCAGGGGTCGCAGCTTCCAAGTCAGCCGTCCAGGAACGAACAGTTTCCACTAAAATAGGGTCACTGCTGAATCTAGTGTCTGGGGCAACTTGTCCAATCGTCTCGAGCAACGCAATCGAGGCGAGCAGAGCCTTCGGCACAGATTTTCCAATGGGCTTGATCTCATGCCTCTCCTCGAGGTAACGCAAAATGCGCCCAACATCACCAGGCCAGGATTCACCATGAGTCGCCTGCAACCGTTCTCGGAATGCAGCCCATTCCCTGGCTCTATTGCGCAAGGACTTACCCCTTCTTCCACCGAAGAGACGCATCCAGGCCTTGCTGTCGGCATTGATTGCCTCCATCCGTTCCGACACCGGAAGACTCGCCTCCTCGATATACTTCACAAGAATCAGGCTCCACTTCTCTTTAAGCATGCGTTCCAGTTCCTCAGCAGATTGCCCTGTACGTTTTCGTGCCTTCAACGCACGGTTCAGGGACGAGAGAGTAATGCTAGGGCTGCCTGCCACTAGTTCCTCAAACACCTCCCCCACAGACGGCAGGGTCCGCTGCACCTTCGAAGGAAGCTCAGCGATTGATCTGTAAAGTAGATCCACAGGCCCAGGCCCATGATCTTTCACGCGCTCCCTCCAAGAAAACAACTGGAGTCCAACCCTTTTCAGAGCATCCGGGTCCAACTGTGCACCCAGCAACTCGGTAACGAGATGGCAGGCGCTCTGCAGATCATCAAATGCCCCATGTAAATGCAAAGGTGACTTGTAAATTTTCTGCACTGCAACCACCAAACGTTTATCAATGGATTGGAGATCCTCCCACGCACTCATACTGACAAGAGGTGATGGCACTCACGTTTCCGACGCTTGCACCAAAGCAACTTACGCAGCTGAGCCAGCCTTACACGAATTGAACACAACCAAGTCTCAGCAGTGTCTGTAGCTGAACTCAGACGTGTCTCGAGAGAGTCAATACGACAATCCAGTCTTGCGATATGTCTCTCCAGGACGCAGATGTGTACAGCACACCACTCACCTTGCTGTCGATGCAAAATGGATTGATCCTCAAGTAGGTCCAGCCGCCCAGCAAACGCGTAAGCAGTGTGCATATGCAAGGCACCCAGTAAGCAACGTCGTTTCAGATGCTCAAACAAGAAACCATAGCGCCAACGGTCCCATGTCCCAACGCTACCAAATTGATTCTTGTGCCATAAACAACCGAAACATCAAGTTAAAGTTTGTCAAGCAATATGCATGCGATCAAGACACTCAAGCATGTAGTTTGCCAATCAAACAAAATTCTGCAAGAGGTTTTTGAATTTTCCTCGGGCTTCCGCCAGGCATAAGGATGCATAACCAAATCTAAATGGGCCCACCCACCCACCCAGCTAATCCTCCCTGACAAACTCATTGGGAAACCCAAGAAGCCAGTCAGAAAGACCTGTCAGCAAGCAACCTCCACAGAGGGACACACTCAGTTCTTCTTCTGG